GTGCTTTGCAGCTCTAATGGGTGTACATCGATGGCCGAACAAACTTTGCGTGGCAGACCTATCAGACAACGAAATAACTGATCTAAAAGTAGGTATATGCTGAGACCGTAAACGCTAAAAGCGTCACGAAATTCGATTTTATCTCGCTGAAATACAAGGATTAATCAACTTTACGACTGAATCAGTGCGTTTGAGATTGAAGCATTGCACCTCACATCATCATTGCTAGGACATTTCTGGACCAATACGTGAATGTTCGACCGTTCAGTCGGAATTAATTAAGAAATGCCGACAAAATGAGTTGAAAAGCGTTTAAAATTTCTATTGAAGTGTCTTTTTCCGTTGGTCAATTGCGAAGCGATACGTGATTTGTCGTTATGGAATGATGTGAACGGTGGTGAGCTGAATATGGATAACTGTCTGGCGTGGATTGCGTTCCATTTTCGTTTCTTAGAGCGACTAGATGGCGACCGCCCTAACGACAAATTTTTTGCTCATTATTCAGTCAGTACGATTCTTTAATTCGTTTACCGTTCCGCTTCATTCTCATAAGAGTTGTGAGAAAAGCGATTCAATTTTCTGATTAGACTCAAATTTCTGCTCGTTTAAAATCAATTGGTTTACTGAACATAACTGAGTTGTGCTCATAGTGTATTCATGGATTGCTTTTGTAAGATTAATTTCTTGATCTGAGGCAACACCTTGCAATATTGCAGAGACTGGCTGAAACAAAATTATATGATGTGCTTAGCGATCAGCTAAAAATGCGATCAGATTTGGTGGAAAGAATCGCTCAGATTGAGATGAATAAACGAAAAGTGGATGCACGTTTCGAGCAGTTGATCGCCACACTGAACGCTAACCAAGAATCGAACCAAGTCAAAAAAGATGCACAACGTGAACTACTCGCACAAATCACCACAGATACTCGCAACAACTCAAAAACTGTTGCAATCTTGTGCAGTTAGTTCCACCATTTTCCTCCCACAGCAACAACCCTCTCATAAGTCTCACAATTTGCATCACGAACAAACTCTCTGCCCAAGAAATCGTTGCGGTCAACAATTTCGAAAAGAACCCAAAATCACTCATTGTCAACAATTCGTTGTTGAG